TATTGTGTTCTGTGAATCTACCAGATATATCTATTAAAAACACAGTAATATCACAAGATATCTCTTCTAAGTCGTGCAACAATATTCGGTCATGTGACCTCTTTGTTCCATACTGTGTATATATATATATCTGTGTCAGTGTAAACTACTTGTACCTGATGATGACAAAACCTTGTACATTTGTTGTTATGTTAAACTTATATTAAAGTTTTTCTTCATTACCCATTCAAGCCGTCTCCAACCATTATTAGTCTCAAAGTGGGTTCCACGTCATCGAAAATACTCTTAATTTAAATGGAAGAATTAGCAGTTAAGTCTTCATAAGTAATAAAAGAAGTTGGGTTACTTCTGATTACCGTGATTTCAGTCAAAAGTTTCGTTAAGAACAAGAAAATCGTTTGAAGATAAACATTAAGATTTCTTAATGTAGTGGCCAGCAATTATAAAATAAACCGTAGTTTCAAAGTTTCTTTCTATTGTACTAAAATGGAGAATTTCATAAATACATGTGTTTAGAAATAACAGAATTATCATAATATAGAATAAACAAAGTTGTAGACATTATTCTTGAATTATTAGTTTAAAATGTGACGCTAAAATAAAGACTAAACGTAACCAAATTCAAGCAAAATGTCCAATAAGTGGGTCTAAAGTTGCAATTTATGTATTTAGAATCCGATAGATGGCACTACTAAAAACAAATTACTAAGCAATCAATACTGTTACATCAAATATTTCTTCTTTAATTTTTTTGAAGCGATAAATTATTACTTTAATGACAATGAGTGACGTGGTAAGATGGGAGTTCCTAAACAAAACTGTCTTGCCTTATTACATTGTTCGTTACTAGATTTATATAATCACGAATATTGGAATGTGCGTTTACATGTGAAAATGCGACTTAACGAGTGTTGGTAACATTTGATGGAAGAAAGTTTAATTAACTAGCGTCATAATTTTTATCTTATTTCTAGACTAAACCGCTAGTTAGTTTGAACCAAAATACAAACAAGTACGTGGGGCAGATAACACGAATAGTAACTGGAATCAATTGGAATTATGAAACGTTTACACCTTTGTATCAAAAAACACTTACCGTGTTGGTGGTGTTCTTTGGGGTTAATATTATGTGATCCTTCGAAAGTCAAATGCTGAAGGTGAAGGTCTTTATTTGCCCAAGTGTCCATCCTGTTTCTATTAATATTAGTATCGGCCGAAAGATGGCTCTGCAATCTAGCCTCATGGGGAGTCAAGAAGTGAGGAGCATGGTTATGCACTAATTTGGCATCCTTTATCTAACGAAGTCATAAATACGAAAATAAATTATATAAATTTAATATACAGACCAGCATTTAATAAAAGAGAAAGACTAAAAAGTTTTATTTATTTTTTAAGTAAACTTTTTATAATTTTAGCTAATTAAAGCTGCATGTTGTCCATTGTTCTGTCAGTCGTTGTACAACTAATACAAATCTGTAATATACTGCTTAATTTCAAGCATGTTTTGTGTAATATTCTTTCTACGATGACACAATTTTGTCTTAAGTCTCACACATGATTTCAATCATTCTAACAAGGTAAATTTAGTTTAGAAGGGCAAACTTTTCGAGAATGAGTCTTTCAAGAATATTTTCTAAATTAAAAACAGTAGATACTTTGAAAATATTTGCCAAAAGAATTGGGGGGAGGGCGTGTGTGTAAAGTTCTACAATAGGCTACCTACGCCCTGTCCATCGCAGAGAGATTAACATCGGATTTTAACGCCGTTAGTCAGTAAATTCATCGCTGACCTACCAGGGGACTACCAACAGTATTTTTGATAGGAACTTAACTTATACTACCAAATATCTTGTTCATTAAAACAAAATAAAAATTAAGATAAAGTACATTTTTTGTGCTTTCATATATATCTC